TGATCAGGCCACAGCTGGAGTACTGTGTCCTGTTCTGGGCACCCCACTTCAAGAGGGATGTGGACAACATTGAGAGGGTCCAGAGGAGGGCCACCCGCATGATCCGGGGACAGCAGGGCAGACCCTACAATGAGAAGCTACGGGACCTGAACCTGTTCAGCCTTCACAAGAGAAGGCTGAGGGGGGACCTTGTGACTGTCTATAAACTCACTAGGGGGGACCAGAAGGGTTTGGGGGAGACCTTGTTTCCCCTAGCGCCCCCCGGGATAACAAGGAATAACGGCTACAAGTTGTTGGAGAGTAGGTTTAGATTAGACATCCGTAAGAACTACTTCACAGTTAGGACGGCTAGGATCTGGAATCAACTTCCAAGGGAAGTGGTGCTGGCTCCTTCCCTGGGGGTCTTTAAGAAGCGGCTCGATGCCTACCTGGTTGGGGTCACTTGAGCACAGTTTCCCTCCTGCCTAGGCAGGGGAGGGGGTCAGACTTGAAGATCTACAAGGTCCCTTCCGACCCTACTTCTATGATTCTATGATATGATTCTATGATCAAATAAGTCAATGGTAATTCATGAGACTTCCTGTCTGTCTTTGGACATTCAGTAGGATTTTATTTCTTAAGAAATGAAAGTAAACTGCTGTGCCTCATTCACATGTGTTACAATTATCACCACAGTTAGAAAATACTGCGGCAGTCCTGTGCTTGTGAATTGAGATGGATTAGCTATGCTGGGAGGTATTTCCCAGCCCCTGACATACTAAAACAAAGCAGTAAATTAAATTCTGTTGCATCAAGCAAGTCCAACAAACAATATCTATTCTTCACTTTAATTCTGAATCTAAGTATAGTGAATCCAATTAATTTCTAGCATAAGATCAATGAAGTAAATGGATTTAAACCAACAATGATTTTGGCCCTTTGCCTCTCAAAACTTGAGGAACAACATACAGTAGATGGGAAAGAATCAGAAATACTTTCTCTTATAAAATGTTAAAGTGATCTTTGGTTGCTTACATATGCTATGCACTCAGATTTATAGTAGTAGAGAGAGATCAGAGCAATTATAAAATATTGTGGGTTTTTTCTCCTTTTTCACTCCACCAGGATAAATCTGCAATATTTAAACACCTCAAATTAAAAAAGATTCAGATCAATTTCTCCCTGGGTTCAATTTCTAAATTTTAATTATTTTAATAAGTCATGATAACAACATGCTTATCCTGCATACAGGATGTCCTTCCTAGACATACAGTAGTTCATGATTATGATTTACATTGAGTAGTTCTGGCAGTAGGATGGATTATGTTCCAAATTCTATTTTGGAAGCATATGTATAACACTCCTCTTAATACAGAGAGATTTATGTGCATTGTTCCAAGTGCAGAATTTATTTCTAACCATTAATCATCTGTAGAGAGATATCTGGATGAGATTCCCAAAGCAGTGTTAAGGGGCTGAGCAAAATTAAGATGCATCTAAATCCTCTACCTTGCTTTGAAAATCATATCATCCAGGCCAAGGTATGAAAGTGGTAGATATGTGAAGAGTGTTTTGAGGTTTGGAGAGGGAATAAAAGGTGGTTTATGATAAGAAGGTTAAAATTGATGCCCAGGTACTAATGATTGTCTAATTGCAGGAACATGCCTTATATAAGATCTGAACTAAAATTTTTTTAAAAATGGGTGCCAATATCTGTATACTTAAACTACATTTCCTCTAATACTAAGTCTTACCATATTGAGTGAAGTTCATTCCCAGGGTAAACCTACTGAAGCCAATATAATCCTGGGATGAATGTGCCCTTTCATTTTCAAAAGCCATACAACCAGCAAGGAGTTAGGAGCTGAACACTAAACACAATTTTTTTCAGATACTGATTTTTATCTTGTCCTTTTGATGTTTCCTGGCCATTACCATTAGGAAGAGTAGATTCCTGGGCAAGATCTGAATACTACACTACCTTGTAATAAAAATATATATGCACTTCAGAAAGAGTCTCATCCATTATAACACTGGGGAAGCTTATATAAAGCTTATACACAGCTTTGTGGATGGCAACTGCCATTGCTTTTAAAAAGCGGAGTCCATCAGGATTCCAAATAGTTCATATGCACTGACATGGAAGAGAGGAGAAATTTACTTACCTCTGGTGGAAATCATTTGTTCTATAACTCCTGCTCTCAAGAGAATATTTTTTAACTTTAGCTCAAAGATATGACTCTAGGCAAAGTTTACACTTTTGGAATGCATCAGATTGCACTAAGAGCGCAGACTGAAGTGAAGCTCCCCACTGTAACTCATGGCACTTTATAGGAAGCACCTTGACTTACAGTGATCCCCCAGACCCAACAGACATTTGCTATTGGGTCCCTGGGGTTGGGAGACTGAGCTGCAGTTGGAGCGGCTGCAAGTCCGCAGCTGCTGTCCCCTAACCCCACGCCTCCAAGCCCTGCTGCTGTCTTCAAAATGGGAGGGGGGAAGGGAGCGGAGAGAGCTCAGTTTGGGAGTTGCCCAGCTGATGCTGGAGGGTGGGGCAGCTGGATTGGAGTGGGGGGCCTCCCTTCCCCTTCCTCCCGTGCTGAAGACAGTGTGAGGAGCAGGCCCTACTCCCAGCACACGCTGACACAAGTTAATGATGACACTCTGCTTTGTAGTGCCTTCATCTGAACCCTCAAATAATGAGGGTTCAAACTGTCATGGGATTGGGCCCTTTTGAAGCACCATGCACTCCTGTAAGGGCATGACTGTAGAGCACTTTGAGTGGCTCATCGTGTGACAAAATGTCACTTGTGTCAGCACCCTAAGTGTTATATACAGTATTATTTTTCTAGGGGTAGATATTCCTGGTGCTCTTTAGCTCCCACGACACATTACATTATTTGATCACTGGTTCCAATGTACCATATTCAGTTCCTAAAAGGCAGCATTCTTTTGCATGTTACCAACAACAAAATACTGCACTAACAACATCCAAGGAAAATGCCAAATTTTCAGGAAGTCAAACTGTTGCAAATTTACATGTGAGAAGCTTAATGGCATTTGGTAAAGTGACATTTTTATTGCTTTGAGACATACATGTAGTGCAATGGGTTTTATTATTTAAAGATAGAAACGTGCAGAAAAAAATATTTGAAAAGACTAAAGTGACACTACTTCCAATAGAAAATATTTAAATTTCATTTTTTTTTTAAAAATAAGGTATTAAAAATACAGCATGCAATCTAGTGACCCTTCACATGTCAGCCCGGACAAAAGAAGCAAAGATGCCATTTTCCTGGGAGAGTAAGTTCTCTGGAGTATCGTATTCCAAAATGTTCCCTCGTTTCATCACAATGACCAGGTCTGCAGTCAGAATAGTGTGAACCCGATGCTGTTGTAAAACAAAAAACCATACAGAAATTCAAATTACATTAACAGTATTCATTTCAGGCCTGGTCTAAACCTACTGAAATCAATTGGAGGATATCATCTGTCATCAGTAGTTTTGGAATTGGGTCCTTATAGCAAGAAATCTTAAATAATTTGCAAGAAATAGATTCAAGTCTTGAAAATGGTTATGGAAGTATTTGAAAAGCACCTTTTGAGCTTAAAGTCTCTCCAAGTGCATAAAAGTCAAGCACGGGCATGAATGTTAACAGGATTGAGATCTATAGGTCCATGGGCCTGGACGTTAAGTAGCTCCTGAGATCCTGTGTGCCCTCCATCCATACTAAATCAGGAGTTTGATGGAAATGGGCACCTAGAATTATGTTCCTGGGCTTGCTGCAAAAATAAACCCAGCCATGCATAGATAAAGCACCACCAATAAACACCTTCTTCTGAAAGTTTTGGTCAAGGATGTGGCGGGCCAGTAGGGGGTGCTCCTGCCCTGAGCCACCTGCCTCACCGTGCCTGACCATCTTCCAGGCTCCGAGTGCCTCCCTGGGGGCGCCTTACATCTGACTGACTCCCTTCCTGGTGCACACCCGCTAGCCCGGGCTAACGCTCCCACCACCCAGGGTCTGGACTGTTTCTGGCCCTGTGCCCCCTGGGAAACACAGGCCTGGTAGTCCTTGATGGTACTCGACCCACTCCAAGAACTTGGGATGCTTCCCTCAGTCTGAAGCACAAATAGCGGTCTCCCTTAGTCAGCTGAACCAAGGAGACCCCAAGGCATAATCTAGACCCACTCCCACACTAGGTACCAAGGAGAAGTTTATTGGTTACAAGGAGGAAGGAGGTTTGGAATAGGGTACAGAGTTGAGCAATATTAGAGAAATCCCACAGAGCAAACTGGCATGGCTGGGTAGCCTTTGATCATGCATCTGAGTTACTGCAAGCTATATATCTAGTTAGATCTCAGGCAGCTTATTTATGAGCATCATCCAGAGGCAGGTGGAGATTCCCTCTGGAGGCAGGCAGTTCATTGATCATGAGTTTCAAGAGAGAGAGCAGGTTTCAGATAGTCCAGCTTCTCTCTCTCTGAGTTTTCATCATGGCTACTGCCCCTCCTCCTGGGCAGTCTTTAACTTATATAGCCCTTATGACCTCATTTACCTGGTCCAATGGAGGCCAGCACCTGTTGGCTGCCAGCCAACCAATTTGAAATGCATCACTGGTTGCAGGTTCTCTAGCCCCCTCCCAGTCAGGTTGGCATTGCTTAGAACAATAGGGAGTTTAAGCCCCCAACCCAGGTATGTGATTCCAGTCACCTAGGCACAGGGAGCAGGTTTCCCCACTTCCTCAGGAATGTATCCAGCTCAGGTTATAACTCAGGGTCACCTGAAGAGATGGGGCAGAGGAGTCTGCCCTTTGCAGTGACCATGTTAACCAAACTGTCACCAAACAGAGTTTTTGGGGAGAGACAGGGGTGGCATTCTGCCACAAAGGACACTTAGACAAACACACATTCTTACAAAAGAGGTTTTTGTTTCTTAGTGGTCATGCAGATTAGATGTGGTTTTGAGTTTTAAATTTACATCAATGTCCCACCCCCACTGCCCCGCACATACTCTGTAAAGAATGCAGTTTACATGTCACAGGGAGCGTCTTGAAGTGTGCTTTAATGCTCAGGGGCATTTGTACACAATACAGGGTTTTATTTCCCTAAATTGAAGTGGTGGTTTTTAAAAAAGCTTCAATTTAGAGTGAAGTAAACCCCCGTGTCGTGTACACCCATGTTGCTGCCTGATCCTTACCTGCCTCTCCAGTGGTGGGGAGGGGAGAGCGAGCTGCTGGTGGGCAGAGTAGTCCCTGAGATGCAGGGTGGGGCTGGTGCTTCCCTCTGTGGCAGTGGTGGCCCCCTCACCCCCGGTGGCTCCCACCTACAGGCACCCGGTTTGGGCAGTCCCGGGGGGCAGTACAGCTGCAGAAGGAAACACCAGGGCCCTGCACAGCTCAGGCAGGCAGGCTCCGGAGGGGGAAAAAAAAAGATCAGGCGTGCTGCTTTTTTTCCCCCCCCTTCTGTGGAGCCTGCCTTCCCGGGCTGCTGCTGGGCTGCCTGCACAGTCCCTGAGCCACACGGAGCCCAGTGCTTCCCTCCACAGCTCGGAGGAAACTTTAGTTTAGGAAACTAAAACTGCTCGGATGTGTTTTACTTTGCAGTGCCCCAAACTCATATGCTGTGTCCCAGTCATTTAAGGCGCATTACGCTGCCAAATGTGCTACAGCGGCTGGAATTAACACGCAATACGCTGCTGGACGTGCAAACAGCAATGCCATTAAAGCAGTGCAAAAGGCATTTAACTTGCTTTAAACCCGCTTTAAAATGTCATCCACAAATGCCCCAGTAGATTATTTTAATGAGCATTAAAGCATCACGTAAAAAACTATGACATTAGGCTAATGCTCAGTAAAATAGTCTACTGCATATTAAGTGTCACTTAAAAACGGTGCAAATGAGCTACTGCACATTAGGTAAGTCTAATGTGCATTAATTTAGTACCCCATATTGGAGGGTATTTATACACATGCATGTGCTGCAGTGCATACATTTGTATACATGGCGAAATGCATGTCAGCGCTGAGAAAATGCTGGTGGCGCTCTTATAACCTAAAACACATCAAAGGTGTTTTCGTTCTAAGGTGCACCGCTGCCATTTTCTGTGTGCTGATGCGCATTTCACTATTTATACAAATGTATGTGATGCAGCGCCAGGCACATCAGTTCATGTGCTCCACAGACTCGATTAATTGAGTCTGCTCTGATGCGCTGGATTTTTGGCGTGTCACAGCAGACAAAGGTACGTGTATAAATGCCTGTAGGTACTAAATTTAAGGCACATTAATGCACATGTAGACATGCCTACAGAAATTCAAGGGACTGCACTGATGATGCAGTGATTTGGACTCACTGTTTCAGGTAAGTTGGTTTGAACTTGAAGCTTTCATCACTAACTCATATAATTTGGCAGTTAGCCACTTAACAGCCCACTTATGCTTGGGACTGATTCATGTCTCCTTATCAAATCCAAATAGCAATATTACTAAAGGGATAAAGAATCTATTAGTTGAAAATCATTTTGAATGAGTGATAGGCTGGAACAAACTACAATGTCTCACCCCAGAAGAAGATTTGTGGTGTTTTTGTCAAAGGAACACATATCCACTAAGATAAGAACTGAGACAGACAATACATTTCAATTACTCCTTTCCATTCATTTATGAACTCCTTTTATAATAATTCTTATTTTTTTCATAGACTAACAGGAAAATTAAAATCTAATTAATGGAGCAGTGGAAGGGATTTCATGTTTAAGATGAACATTTGAAAGTACTTGAATACAACAAACAGTTTTTCGTACTGTTACTGAACAGCTTGTGCAGAAGAATGGAAGCAGAATTAAAGATAATAGAGTTAAAGATAGCTACCAGAGAGCCTGAAGTCTTGTGAGCCAGAATGGTCTGACAGAATCTACTTGTGAGTCTTCACCAAAGTGGTGAACAGGCCATCCTCTTTGAGGAGCAAGTTTGAGGCAGTATCGCACTCAGCTAGAATACCATCAGAAAAGACTAGCACAATGCCTGCATCCAAGATCTGAGACACTCGGTGCTGAAAAGAAGAGAAGAAAAACAGGCAGGTAGGTGGAGAAAGAAGGAGCAGCCAAAAAGAAAGTGAAGGCAACTAAATAAAATGCTTTGTGAAGAACAAGGAAGCCAGATATGAACAAGTGCCGTATTTCCTTCCTAAACCAATATGGAAAACAGAAAGTCAGTGAAACTGATAAGTAATATTTTAGTGGGAGAGAGAGCACCAATCATGCAAGGATCTGAAGGACAGTTTTATGAATGGAAATCCTTGTTAATAATATTTTATGCATTTATGCATCCAAGAATCTTAACCACAAAAATGAGCTAGCTTAAGTGATCAGACCAAGGTAACACAGCAGGTCACTAATAGCTGGGAACAGAGCCCAGCAGTTGTGACTCCAATCTTACTCTCTAAACTGAAAATAAAACTTCAGACAAAACAAGTAAAACAGCTGTTGAAGCTTACATTTATTTCAGGCATGAAACAGCTGTCTGCTAAGTAAGGATGTCATCATAGGGTGGAATTACTCTTAAAATGCATTAAAGGCATCATACAAATGGACAGAACTTCTAGCCTATACAGAGAGCTGGTTGAAAAACAGGAAACAACCCATAAAAGCTTAGTTTAGCTCTCCTGGGGGTTTTTTTTGGTGAAATTTGAAAAATGTCCATTTATACATCTTTATAGAAACAAAGAAAAGCTGCTAAATTCATAAATCACATTATAAACGACAGTTGCAGAAAATGTACAAAGGCATAAGTAACAAAATCCAGATTTTGAACCAAGGTTCAGTAATGGTAGTTGGATCCAGTACTTTAATTGGGTTTAGTAGAGAGATTTAGCTCAATGGTAACATTGTAATCGGATACCAATTTGTATGTTGAGCTCCACTGCAAAGTTCAGAGTATAACTAGATGTCACCAAATGCAGTAGATCAGCAGTACCAGGATGTGTCCACTAATCTGCTTCACTGGGGAAAACACACATCACCCATTGTCACTGTCTTGCCCATTGACCCTGCAGGACAATGGGCAGTGTGTTCCCCACTTGCAGAGATGCACCCTGGGAAATCCCTGGGGAAAGCTAGCTCTGGTGTGGTCCTGGGGCTAAGACTGCAAATCAGCTGACTGGTGGTCCCAGCCCTGGGGCTTCCCCAGAGTGTTGTTGCATACCCAGGGAATCCTAAACAGCAAACCTGAACCGGTACTTCCAGGGCTTTGGGGGCCTGATCCTGCATGCCCCAGGAATGGGAAATCCCAGCATGCAGGATTGGGCCGTAAAGCCCGAGGAGTCCTTGCCGAGGGTGGCATGGGCTTCTCTGGGCTGCCCAGGCTCCCCCGCCTTAAAGCAAATGGATCTCAACCAAAAAAGAGCATCATAAATTCATACCACGTAAGTAACAAGGGTCATGGACATCTGCTTACTTAGCTTTTGTGCCACCATAAAAAATGTTATGGTGGTACAAAGGCAACATTTGTTAACACTGTCAGGTTGTTCAGATCCAAAATCTTCAGACCCAAATCTTTCTTGGCTTTTTCCATTTTATACAGATGAACATTACTGTATTTACTCAAATCTAAGATAGCCCTGAATATAAGATGACCCCCACCCCCCCAAATTAGATTCTATATGTGGGAAATTTATAAATTTGTTATAGTTTTCCAGCTATCTAATTATTTGAGGTCTCCCTTGAATTTGTCTCCCTCCCATTGCTAAAGCAGGGAAAATAAATCTAGGGGGTTAAATAGCCCCATTCCCGCCTCCTCTTTACAATCAGACACTGCTCTCCTTGAGCACATGGAAGTATGGGGCAAATGTGAAAACACTGCCCTTGAAATAAACATAATTTACCATTTAAGCAAATTACTACAGATAGCTCTACCTTTTATGAAACGGCTGCAAGTTTTAGCAAAAGTACTCCATAAACACACTTATAAACAGCACTTTTGTTCTTCCTTATATACATAGTACAAACTTAAAAAAAAAATTGTTTCAAGGTCCAATTTTGTTCTGAATTCTGTTTAGCAAAGCCCAATGGTCACATTCCAAATTTTGGTTGAGACGAGGTCAGTCGTTCAAGTCTATGTGGCTCTACCACCAGGCAAGTATCCTTCCTCCCAGATTCATCTGTCTGGGGCTTTCAATATTCCCCAATCCACAGCAGGTATCCTATGTACAAGCCCCAAGCCTGGAGTCCTTAGGGGTTGGATGCCCCTTACTCTTGCTTGCTCCTAGCTAAAAGGCCAAGGAGCAACCCACAGGGAAAGTGAGAATACAGTCCCCATCTACCAGAAAATTGTGCAGTCAAGTTTCCTCCATTTCGGGAAGCTACCCCTACTTGGAGTGCAAGGGGCAGACCTCACCCTATAACTACACTTGATCAGTTGAGAGGATCATAGGATCTCTCCTGCCAAGCAAGTATGTGGTATAACTATGTATACAACTACATAAACAACTAAGTATATAGTACAACAACTATATATCATTGAACCATATTAGTCCAAAGCCAAAAAGATCATGATTTACCATATAGGTCACTGGGTTGGGCCTCACCAGAGTCAACAGCATTTCAAGCCATTGTGGCCCCATAGTCCAGCATTGATCAGTATGTGCTTGTACTCCAGATACCCCACACAAACGATCCATGTGCTAATAAGGCCTTTCCCCCACAACTCATGGGTTTTCTTGTCACAAGCCTTGGGATCCTTCAAAAAATTATATGCAGATGAGGCACAGGACAACCTGGTCCTGCTCCATCTCCTGGAGGGCAGGGCCACACTGACCATATGCAACAGGCTGAAAGAGGGGGAAACAGAGGTCTGGGTGAACTATTTAGGCCCCCATTTGGTAATGTTTTCTAGATATTTAAGGCTAGTGAAGAAACAAGAGTAATTGGAAATGGGAATGAAAGGCACAGATCAGCTTCAGGGTGAAGAAATCAAAATGTATTCAGTGTAATAGCTCACCATGACTTAAAAAAGAGTTGGTGCTGAGGAGAACTGCAGGCAATTGGCACTACCACATATCTTAGTCAGATGGGATGCACTAATTATCCTTGTGGTAGGCTCCCATCAGCATCTCAGCTTTTTGGCTAAGATCAAATGTAGCAGCATGTTTGGCATCAAGGGGAAGGCATCAGGATTGGCCCTGGCCCTTCTGGTGCTGGCCTGGTATTCCAGTACCTGCAGGCTGGTGCCAGTTCCCTGTGGAAAGAATGCTCGCCCATTTTTTTTAAGAGCCCCCACCAAAGAAAGGGTCCCATCAGCATTTTTGGCACCGGTGGAGTTGGCTGCATCCTCTCTGAGCACCAACCTGAGTGCCAGCCTGGTACTACAGTACCTATGGGCTTAGTGCTTGTTCCTTTCTGGGGCAGCAACTGCCCATTTTTTAAGGGCCACACATAAAAATAAACCCAAAAATGGTTCCCATCAGTATGTTAACCCATACGGGCCATGTGGTTTACAGTGATGCTCAGACTTTCCATTTAATCAACTTCAGAGTTGGTTTCCATTACTTTGGCAGCAGTTTAATGAAAGACAGTGCATTTAGTAAGGTTTCCTGTATGAAATTATATGAGGGTCTTCCCCCTGCCCCCCAGTGCTGACTTGGGGGGAAAAAGCCCTTGTTTTGTATTTTAGTAAATAAGGTATTTGCTAAATTTGCTAGATCCAGGTTTGTGCTTTTTACCTCTTTAAAGTTCAGAGGTGTTCTGGGCTGAGTTTTAGTTTCAGTTTGTTTTCTAAACAGCAATTAACTGGTCAACAGCAAGTCTTACTACGTGAAGAATGAGGAAAAGAAGCTTCTTCTGTAGGTCATACTTACAGCTATTGTTACAACTGTGCGGTCTGCAAAGGCAGTCATCACAACCTTCTGCAAAATGTTTTCCTGCAAAAGAAAAACGCCCAAAAGTTATTCAGGGTTTTACATCTCCTTATAGTATGTGTCTTTTTCATTGTCAAGGACTCACAACCACATAGTTCAGTGCCTTCTATCTATGTGCCTGGGTATGTCTATATTGTAATGGCAGTTTGTCCCAACCAGGATATTCATAAGTGTGTCCCACCCACCCACTCCTGCTATGCATTCCAAATTTAGAAATAACATATTTTCTTGCATAAAACACACACCTTCCCCAAAACCAGCTGGGAGAAATTGGAGTGTGCATTATTTGTAAGAAATATAGATCCCCAGGAGTCTGGAGATTGGCAGTGGTGGAATGTTGACAATGCACAGCAACTAATCGTGTCATTTCTCCTCTGCTGACAAATTTCCAGACCCCTGAATGACATGGCCCTGCACACTAGATTGGGCTGGTACACTGAAGCCAGACTGGGCACATGCCCCCAAACTCAGTGCACTGGATCAGGTACTTACCTGTGCTGCAAGGTACAAATACTTTTTCTTCAAGCCATCTGTCAAAACCAGAGTATGTATAATATTTGGGGCATGCTACATGCAAAAAAATATGGTGCGTCAGTAAGGCTCATGTAGCATGTCTCTGGCAGCTGCACTGAAACACTCCAGAAACTTAGATCTTGACATCAATCACTGGGGGGCTGTCCTAGAGCAAGTAACCTCATCAGTACCTTTCTAGGTGTGGCATGTGTGAGAAGGAACAGTTGGACACACTGTAGTACAGACCCTGAATTATGTCATGTAGTAGGACCCTCAATACCAGGCCTTTTTTTTTTACATTTTTCCCCACACCACAGACATCAAAATGAAAATTAACATAACCAAAAAAATACCTATAAGATAGATACCAATCTCCTCTGCCCAGTGATATAACATCTAGGGAAGACTGTACCAAAGGTGTGAGTTTTCAGCTCAAAGTACCTTCTTGCCTCTCACAAGATATATCAACTGGCACTAGTAGCAGTATAGCTGGCATACTCACTGTAGCCATGTCAATAGAAGCTGTGGCTTCATCCATGATGAGGATGCTGCTCTTACGAACAAAGGCTCTGGCCAAACAGAAGAGCTGTCTTTGACCCACACTGAAATTCTCTCCTCCTTCTGTTACCATCGCATCTGTAAGAGAGTTAGGTTCAAGGTTTTAAGTTATTGAAATGCTGTTGCCTAAAGATGTTATTCAACTAAGTATACTCATGAAATACAAAATCAGTGCCCCAAGTGATTTGCAGTATAAGCCAGAAAACCTATGCTCAAGAGGTGTTGAAACATCAAATGATATTCCTGAAATATGTTATAAGCTGATCTATGCTGAGCACTGGACTGCAGTGATATTGAGAAGACTGAGCACTGCTGCTGGGACCACAGACCTGAGGGCAATATATTATCTCACACAGTCATGGACTTAGAACTTAACAAACTTGGGAAAGCATATCATATTTAATAACGTGTAACATGTATAAGTGGCTTTCCTTCATGAACCAGGCCTGAAATAAAAAGGAAACTGCTTGATCAGTGACATAATTAGGAGACACAGCTGTTGGGCCTTCATCTGGCAATCACAGATTTTACTGTTGAAACAGAGTTGTAAAAACAGTTTTTAACCATCTGACTACTAGTCCCCCAGGCCCACCTGCTGATGTACTGTACTAACATTTAATTGAAATCAGTGCAAAACTAAACCATCATTCAGCAGTATGAGAGGTATACTTTTGGAATATTCATCAGGCACTTGCCACTCCCTTACAGAATTACTCAAAGTCAGGCTATATATCACACTCTCCTAAGCCTACAACAAGATATTCAAAAATCAAAACATTCTTTGCATATATATGTTCTTTTTTTATGCACTGGCATGAATTCATGAGCACTCGGTTTAGTCATACCTAGGCCTCCTGGCAATGACTTCACCATGTTCTTCAGCTGAGCAATCTCCAGAGCTTCCCAAAGTCTATCGTCAGTGCACTTGCACTCTGGATCCAAATTAAAGCTGCCAGTGCCAGGGAAAGAATAAAGGGCTTAGTGAGCACATTTCAAGACCAAACACCCTGGTCTAGTCCAAGGCAGTGCTACAGCTATATGTTACTCACAGATTTTGAATAGCTAGAAATAGGCATAGAAGGTCTTCTCCCATTCCCATCATCCCCATCTCCTGGATGGCTTCTGTGGTACCATCTCTGATGCAGAACCTATACAACTTTACAATTCACACAGCAAAAAGTAATACGCACCGAATGGAACCACTGAACAGCACAGGATCTTGGAGAATAATTGACAGTCGGGAGCGGAGGGTGTGCAGGGGTAATTTACTAATGTCTATTCCATCAATCACAATCCTCCCTGTTTGGAACAATACAATTTTATAAGCTTGCAAGTATTGTGCCATTTCTAAGCAGACAACACCAAAATTAATCACAAAGAAGCAGAAGCTTATTTGGATTTGGGCTAGCCTCCAAACTCTGAGAGTGACTTTGCATCCCCTCAGCTGTGACATAAACATGTGGAAGGTATACAATAAATATCATATAAGTATGATATACAATAAAGGTATAAAATAAATATTGCGTAAAATAAAACAACCCAGGGGAAATTCTGCTTACTGATGACAGACACTTATCATCTCTCTCCTTCTCTTTTTAAGTCCCTTAAAGGAAATATTTTGGTTTCATGCTACATGATTAATGATGCCAAAGATAATTAATTATGGAGCATCCTGTGCTCTGCAGCCAAGCAGAGGAAGAGAGGACAACAGCAGTTGAGATAATTGTTCCTGGGCCACTTTCTGTTCCTGTTGATTTTAGTGAGGATCAGATTGGAATCTTTTATTTCAAATTTGTGCTAGCTTATTTTGCACACAACACTCAAGCAATCATAATATGAAACATGAATACAGGCCTTGCTGTCCTTAGAAAGCTAGAAACACTTTTCCAAAGATAAGAGATGGCTCAGTGATCCAAATATAAGAGATGACTCCGTGAATTAAAAAATGCACCCAAACTCAGTCATGTTAAAATCATTTTTCCATGTTCCATAGGTAGGTGTCACTTAAGTCTAAATTATGAATTATACTTAGGTTCAGCTGACCAAAAAAAGCAATGGAAGCACATGCCTTCCTGGCATGGTATTTCAATAAAGGAAGCCACATGCAATAGCGGTGGTGGTCACTAATGTACAGAGATTCCATTAGCCCATCAGGTCAATAAATTTTATAGATTTGACCTGACAATCTAATCTATGGCATGTCAGATGTGGCAACCTTTGGCATTCAGGGGGAAAAAATCTGCAGGCTAGATTGGGATTGCCTGCTTTGTAAATAGGAACAGGCAGGAAGTACATAAAAAGGTCACACTCCTTAAACCTCTGCAAACCTCTGCAAAACATCTGGCTGCAATTGCAGCCCTTCAATTTCCCAGCACACAAGAAATTCTCATAGCTGCTAGGGAGGGAACGGTACATCAACAGGTGCAGACACTAGGTTCCATTTGTATTTGCCCCAGTTATCCCCAAGAAAGACACTTTCTCTGCGATGAGCAGTTTCTGTTGGAGCACCTGTTGTGCTCTGTACTGCACCCAACATGGAAATAAACAGATATTAATATTCTGAGTTTGTTTGCCTTATGTCCTAAAAACAGAAAGGACCAGCCCTGACCCAGGAAATGATCAATATAAAGAAATTCAAAGCTACTGAGAGCTGCTGTTTCTGTAACATTCAGTTTCATCACTATGTTATTTGTAAAACACAGAGAGCTGTATACTGCATGGTGTTGAATGTCCTAGCCCCGATCTAGCGAAACACTCAGGCACATGCTGAGTTTGACTCCCATGGGTTGACCAACATGCTTGAAGCTCTCTAGGTTCAGAATTTCACCCTCAGCAAAGTCTGACTTTTTAAAAATGCTTTCAGAGGGTCAGTCCATCCATCAGTCACCATCCATCAACAACAGCAACTTGACCATCACCTTTTTCTCATATATGAAGGTAGAAGCCTGGGGAAGAGGAGACGGGGGAAGAAAGATGGTGTGCTAGTGAGCAGGAAGATCCAATGTGTTAAGGGAAAACAGGTTGATTGGAGGAAAAATTGGAAATAAGAATGCCTGGGTGGGATAGGCAGAGTGGAAAGGAAATAGAGGAAACAGGGACAGAAATAAGGGGGTGAAATGGCATGATGCAGAGAGGACAGAGAAGCCTGGGGCATGGATTGTAAGAGCTCCTTAAGAGGAACAAGAACATGTGAGATGTTTTAAGGGGTGATACCATGGAATATAAGTGAGTATGAAATGTAACAGATACAAGAGAATAGAGGAATGAGATGGACAGAGTGGGTGAAATCCTAGCTGTACTGAAGTCAGGTGTCACCTACCAAAGACTTTAACAGGACTAAGATTTCATATAGACCCAAAGAAAAGATGGGGGCAGTGGGGCTAGATACTGTCTAACATTGAAAGAAGGGAGAGACATGGACAACAGACAGTAGAGAGAGAAGATGAAAGTCAAGAAAACCTGAGAGGAAATGGAATGCCTTTCTAAGGCAACAATTCAGAGATACAGGAAATAGAAGACTGAGACAATCAAGTGAGAGGCATAAAGAAAGTAAAGGGTAGATTATATAGAAAAGGATAGGCATAAAACTATGTTTATTATTTGTATCATTGTAGCACCTAGGAGGCTCAGTCAGGGCCCAGGACTCCACTGTTTGAGGTGCTATGCAGACAGACCAAGATGACTGACTTAAATTAATTTCAGCTGATGTACTTATCCTCCTACATCTTACTGGATTGTGCTGGCTGACATTCCATACATATTCCATAAGATACATGGGAGAATGATATGCCATAGAAATAAGAATATTGCAAAATCATCCTGGGCTTCTGCTGTAACTGGAAAATGGCAATATTTTTTTTTTAAAGTTAAGGGAGCACCTTTACTGCATACCAGCTTCTATTTTCCCAGAACTTAGCTCCTTTATTTTAATGTAGTTATTCAGTAGGGATAAATTTATAGGGAGAGACCAGAGTTAGATTTTTTTTCTTTCCATTTAGAAACAGAATTATTCTGTCAGATTATAAAGGGTCTTACACTAGATCCTACAATAAGTAGAGACTTTCTCTAATAGCTCTCAAGGGGCACATCTACATGTGCCACTAACGTGCGGCAATAAACTGTGGCGCTTATTGCTCTCCAGTTCATTGCTCCTGGGAACGTAGTTTACATGTGCACCTGGACCACAGCATATTGAGCCAGGTCCCCAGGGGTCAGCGTGCCATCTGGCAGGCAATCCCTGCATTGAAGCACCCTCATGCCCCAGCCAACCAGCTCAGCATCTACACACATGCTACTGCGCACAAAAAGACTCTGCAGCAGCATAGTACTTGCATTTACAAGTCCTACCCTGCTGCAGAGTTTATTACTTTCATGTGCCCTAATAGGGATATACATGTAGTCAACTGTACAGCAAACATCTCATGTAGACACTCCCAAGAGGCACTTGGCACATGAAGTATTGGGCAGAATAAGCCTGATTCAAACTAAGTGTCTTGAAAGTGTATACAAGGGTTTGCTTGCTTTTTCCAAAAAAATGGAGGGAGGATATAGGGGTAGCAGTTGGGGAGTAACAGCAAACTCCAGTGAGGGATCCATAACAACTAACCATCAAAGATGTCCACCATTCTGAAGAAAGCCAAAGACAATGATGATTTTCCACTCCCTGTGCGGCCACAGATCCCAACCTGCAAAACAAACTAAACTGTTATTTTTCTCAAGATCATGGTGGAAAGGAACTGTAAACCCTACTCGAATGATTTTGAAACAAGTTATTTTAACCAATAACAGCAAAAAACCCAATAACCCCCATTAAAGCAACAGGCCCTCTTAAACACACAAGCTATGGAGGGACGGGGAAGGGTTCAAGGAGATATACTTCTCTCCAATGCACTCATATTCAGAGCATTTACAATTGGGTTATTATCAGTTCTGAGAAACATAAGGAATTACAATTGTTTGCCAAGAGCTTCAGTGGCAATGCAGACTGGATGCCACCCTGATTCTGACCTTGATTCCCTATTGCATTTCTGTAGCTAGCAGCAAGAGGAAATGTATTCTTTAAATCAGTGCATTTAGGCTGCTATATATGGACATAGTATGATGCCTTCCTACAAATAATTTATCTTTTTCTGCTTGTGCTTTATACAGTAGTGCTACAATCTAATGTCTGAAATACCCAAGTGAGCTAGAACAAATCCCCCAATTCTTACAACACTGAAAGGTGAAGTGGGTTGTATACACAGGAGAAAACCTGTGAAAACATACTGCATATCACAACAGTTGCCAAAAGTGAGAGCAAAAGCAGAAACATAATATATAATAATATTAATAATATCCCAATGAAAAATACAATTTCTGCAAAAGTTCTACCAAGAAAAAATTTGCAGAGAAATACAGGAAACCCTCGTTATTTGCAGGTTTGGCATTTGCGGTTTCAAATATTCACGAATGCTGAACCCGTATTTTAAATACACTTAAACACTTACTGGAGCTCCTTGGGAGCTCCATGCTTGCTACTGCCAGGCTCCCACTGCCATCGCCAGGCTCCTGCCACTGCTGCTGTGCTCCTGCCACTGCCACCGCACTCCTACCACTGCCACTGAGCTCCTACCATCGCCGCTGGAGCCATGCCCGCCCCGCTCAGCCGCCGGGGGCACTGCATTCATGAACGCCCACTGCGTTCATGAATGCAATGCCTTATTCGCATATTTCGCCATTCGCGGGGGATATGAGAACGTATCCCCGGCGAATGACGAGGGTCACCTGTATTGATTTTCCATGAGCAAAATTTAAGCAAAACTATATTTTCGCACTCATAACACACACCTTTTCTCCAAAAAATCAGCCACGTGTTGCCTGTGGCAAAAGTGAAGACAGATCCCTGACCCTTGGGCAGGCCAAACTCAATATTTAGATACTGAAAAAATGTTGGACTTGTGTGTATGTTCAAATATTAATACAGCTGTTATTGCTAACGTGTTGTCTACAGAAAGCAAAAGCTGCCATCAAGGCATAATCAAGTGAAGATGATATCATCCACAATACCTTCTGTCCTGGTTTGATGTAAGCCTTGACATGCTTGAGAACAGGCTTCAGGTTGTTTTCATATCGGACACACAAATCTTCAATCTTGATTTCCCCCTCCTGGGGCCAGTCTTTTGGAATTTGAGAAGCATCTGAAATAGTGACAGTAAACAAAGGCAAATGCTCTTATTCTGATTTACCCTTTACTATGTTTCTATCTGAAATTACAGTAAAAAGCCTGTTGCAAATGGGACAAAGGAATATGGCATTAGGTAAGAATGCACCTTGTGCTAGCACTGTTTCCTCATGCAGCTGAGTACTAGCAGGGACATTAGCACTGAGCATCCAGATCCTGACACACAGGATGGCCACATCTACAAATATGCTTAACTGTGGAGTAGACCAATTAGCTGTAGAGTAAAACATCACTGTCTATATATGCAACAGCATTAGGCTGCAGTAAACTAATTAATGCAGCAGTAAGACAGTACTGTTGGGGACAGTACTATCTTATGCTGGGGTAATTAACTGTGATTAAACGCATATGGAGACACTGACTACAGTTGTAAATTGTGCTCAGTCAAACCAGCCAGCCGAGGGCCAAACTCCTGCCTGCCACCTAGCCACATGGCTCCTCCAGCAGCGACTCCCTCTACTGCCCTTCACCACCACCTGGACCCTGGGGCTAACCCTCCCACCTTGTACCTGCTGCTAGCCTGGGCTTGCTCCACCCCAGTCCAAATTGCTGCTGTCCTGGGTGCATATGTATATGCTGTGCCTGAGAGTAGTTTACTCTGGCTCAAACTGCTCCAGAGTTTATTGCTTCACAGTAATTGCACATGTAGATACACTTGATGACAGGGTAAATATTAAAGTGTTTTTTAGCATTGATTTGGGAAGAGGAGAAGGAAACAGGAAAGGAATTGACACTGACACAGAAAAAGCAATACAAATGGTATGTTGTTCCCGCTTTGCAACTTGAGGTCTTGACTTTACCTTAGATCATTTTTCAGTCTGGTCTATGAACATGCAATTAAGCCCCATGAGGCTGGAGTTTCTAAAGGAACCCAAAGAAGTTAAGTATCAAACTCCGATTGGCCTTCAGTGGGCTTTGGATGCCTGCCACTTGGAAGTGTCTTGGAAAATCCCCACAAACAGCTACTTTCACCTCTGAGTTCAATATTACATTGCCCATTTTACTGTTTTCACAATTTCTTCCCTCAAAACTAAAAAAACCCCAAAACTAAACTATCTGACAATATACGCAGAAGGTGTTGCTGAGGTCTTATTTCTTCAAACATTTCTGTCCTGTAGTCCATGTGCCAAAGTCTAGAGATTCCAAAATATGTGTCAGTTAGAGCGTTTTCCCTATTTTCCCCTATTTGGGGTGGGTATCTCAGTATCTGTAAGGAGGTGACTGTTCTGAGTTAGTGGACATTCGGGGCACTGCCTTAGAAAAAGAACACAGTATACATTCATAGCTGTCAGAGCAAGCAAACAGCTTGTGCTTTTTTTAGCCCCTTAAGTGGGCAGCTCCTTAATGGCTATGGACTACTGTGTAATTCCGTATTTGGGGCCTGTAGCAGGGGAAGAACAGCTTTAGTGACGAAGACATGTTTCACTGAAGCTTCTGGCAATTGCCAAGGAGTCCTGAAGGGGGCTTCTTTTAAAAAGCATCTTGAATGGAAAATATGATTTTTTCCCACTTCCCTTAATTTGCCATCACAGTTCTTTCCCTTAAGAAGCATGTGTCACACACAGATCTCACAGACCCAACCTAAAGAAGGAGTATTTCCATGTCTATTTATGGTATCATACTAGTGTACAGCATAGTGTAAGATCAAAATAAAGCTGGGCATATGTGTCTAATGAAGTTTACAGTGGTCTGCCTGGATACTTGACCAGGTGCTGCATTGCGATATGCAGGGGTGGGCAAAACGCGGCCCGGGGGCCGGATGCAGCCCACCAGGCCATTCTATCCAGCCTGTGGCCCCCTAAAAAATTTAGAAAATGAATATTTATCTGCCCTGGGCTGCCTGTCATGCGGCCCTGGATGGCTTGCCAAAACTCAGTAAGTGGCCCTCTGCCCAAAATAATTGCCCGCCCCTGCGATATTGTCATGAAGATTTTGTCAGGTTGGTTCCATTTACTGTCTTGTCCAGCAGCTGTGCTGAGAACCTATTTGGAACTGGAACAGTCTTGTGATCAACTTGTCATACCTGTGACACTGCAATTTTTTACTGTTGGCTAGTATGGGTCCACCTAAAACAGAGACCCAAACTCTGCTACAAGTTATGCCTCTGGAGTCCCATTGAGATCAATCAGAGAGCACCCATGTAAATGAGGACCTTTGGTTCAACATGCCCAAAAGAAAAAATGGGATTTTTTTTGTCATTCTGGTACCTGCAGAAGATAAAAAAGAATAAAATATGATACCCAAGGTGCCATCGTAGTTCTCAGACTCCATGTTCAGGAAGCTGTTCACTTTCTTCACTGCACCCATTTGCACCTCTAAATCAGCCAAATTTCTCACAACCCAGTTCAAATAGTTGGTTATCTGCATCATAATATGAAAAGGAGAAAACATTTCACATACAGCCTGTGTATGTTAATTTATTAGCTTCTGAGTAAAGTTTAGCTATAAACAGTAAAAACTTTAGACATGATTCACCATACTGAGTTTAGTGTAGTCCCACCAATGTAAAACCTGTCCATCAATGTGGTAGATCTGTAAAGTCAGCCTGTTGCCCCCATTTCTTTACTCCTGCTTTTATCCCAAACTATGATGCCTCAAAAATTTACTGCTCTCTATTAGTACCCTCATTTTGTGAAATGGAAGCATAAAAGGGAATTGAACATGTTCAAGGTAGATGCTGCCTTCAGGAATTTCTATTTTTGGGTTTCCAGTTGTCAGTGTCCAAGGTTTCTTAAATTGGGTGCCCCAAACCAATGAAACTCAATGGGCTTTTTTGGACAATGTTGTCTTTAACAGGTTGAAAGTCACAGGTCAGAGGCAGAACCAGAAACAACTCAGATACCTATTGCTGTACTTTAATCACTACACCAGTGGTTCTCAACCATAGCTGGCTAAGAATTAATACATTTTACTTTGAAAAAAATGTCTAAACTGAGAACTTGTTTATCTTGTTAGAATTATTAATAAAATATTAATATTATTTTTAGTTTAGGTTTTCAACTAAAAATCAAGTTTGTGCATGTGTGTGTATTTTTGGCAACTGAAAAATGTAAAACATTTTAAATGAAAAAGAAACATTGTCTCAAAAAATTTCCCATGATTGCAAAGATTTTTTTTGTTGATGGAAAAATATTTCTTCCAGAATTTTTGACCAGGGCTTGTCTCAGCGTTTCCTGTACCACTACGCCTTGTAGTAAAAGAAAAAGATTTCAAGATCCAGATGCCATGAATTTCTGGCCATAAAAAAAGGAAAGGGCTGTAACTCTCTGAAAGTTGTTTATAAACCAAAACCATGCATTAGATCATATTTCATCTCTATACCTATAGCGGTATAATAAATGCTGCTTCCTAAGATATTCTAAGTTTGGGAACTGAAATATAGAAAATGAAGGGTTATAATAAATAATGAGCTTTTCATCTGAAAAATGCAGTAGTCCCATTATTTCCAAATGCTTCAGGAACAGATGGTTGAAATGGCTCTACTGCCAATGATAAAGTAAAATACCCACAGATACATTTCTGAAAATCTGATTTACAATCCAATATTGCCATAATCAAAATCTTTTTTTCTTCTATTAATATTTTAACACAATTAGTTTTTTGTTATAGAGATGCTGCTATTTGTCTTAATATTTTTATTTAGGCACAAGTAAAGATATTTATTATTGGTCATTTGATATTTGCTAGTTGATATTTGTTTTTCCTGTTTATAGAATTTCAGTGATTCTGCCCGATGTGAGAAAACAATACCAAATGAGGTAATGAACATTCATCTAGTAAAACAATGTGACTTCAGTAATTTTTTTCTTAACCAAGAATCACATACTCAAATTTTAAAAATAATTTCCTAAAGTTCAGCTCCTAAATCCATATTTAAATCTGTGCTTAGAAAACTGGCCTGATTTTAGAGTAAATAATGTGTACCGAGCACTGAAATATATTCTACTATCAGTACAGAGTCCTTAGCAGTTAGCCAACATAATAAAGAACAACTCCTAAGAATAAATGCAAAGTAATCCCCTGGCCATTTCAAAACCTGCTAAACCCACTTTCAGCTTTCTAATAGGGCTGTGCAAAATTTCGCCATCAGTTTTGTTTTGACACTGTTTCAACTCATTATCCTAGCTAGATAGTGTGTATTGAGCTGGTCCCTGAGTGAATCATGATTGATTGGTAACACAGTAGCTAGCGGGAATAATGAGTTAATGAGCAAGGAAACCACAGACTAAGGAGAGGAAAGAATCAGTACAGAGCTGGGAACTGCTTTTGCCCCAAGACAGAGACAATCTGCCCAAGCACCCATGACATGAGTTTTGCCTGTCAGCAGCTAGAGGTGCAGGGCCCCAGAAGCCCCTGCACCTATCTCCTTGAAAGCTGGCAGGCTTTGTGGCCTCAGCAGGGGCTAGCAGGCCTGAAGCTTTCACCCTGCTGCGCCTTAACACACTCCATGTCACCCATGTCACGAGTTTTGCTTGTCCGCAGGTTGAGGTACAGTTTCCCCCAAACCCCTGCACCTATCTCCTTGAAACTTGGCAGGCTTTGTGGCCTTAGCAGAGGCTAGCATGCCTGCAGTTTTGACCCCACTGTGGCTTAACATATACATGTGACACAAGTTTTGCTTTCAAAATGTTGGGGTGCAGTTTCCCTGAGCCTCCTGCACCTATCTCCTTAAAACTTGGCAGGATTCATGCCCGCAGAAGGAGCTACCATTCATGCAAGTTTCATCCAAATCAAGCAAGATGTAACAAAGTTATTGGCTGTTTTGTCCTTGCCTATTATATCCTATGGGTGAAACATCGTAACAGTTTCGCTGTTTCAATTCTGTTTTGACGGAACAAAATGGAACAGCTATTTCAAATTGAAACAAAATTTGAAATGAAATGCTGTTCCATCAAAACACTGGTCGGAACAGAACGCTGCTGTTTCGCACAGCCCTACTTTCTAATACTTCCATTTAATGAAATCAGTGTGCTTCCCTGATTTGTGCTTGCATAGAAACCTATTGTCTAGGGAATTCCAAATGGTGATTATTAGGGCTGTGCGAAGTTTTGGTCACTGATTTGATTCAGCGGAGATTTGGCCCGATTCGGTGGCTGAATCTCCAATCCAAACCAAATCAGGAGACCCTTAAATCTCTCTGAATCAAATTGGAACCCTCCAAATCGATTCAGAGAGATTTGGAAAGATTCATAGATTCATAGATGTTAGGGTCGGAAGGCACCTCAATAGATCATCGAGTCCGACCCCCTGCATAGGCAGGAAAGAGGGCTGGG